TGAGCTCCGCATGAATGTTTGCAAACTGTTGTATTAAAAATTGAATGTAGTAATTTGATAGGGAAATGCATTTATGTTGAATGTGAATGTGATGTTAATTTGAGAGAGAGAGAGGAGAGAGGAGAGAGGAGAGAGAGAGGAGAGAGGAGAGAGAGAGAGAGATTTACTTTTTTGGTGCTGAACATTACCATTCAAATTTTAGTTTACTTTTTATATCTCAAAAATAAAAAATGTACAAGATTTATTCATATTTTTATTCAATTTTAGTTGAAAAAAATGAATTTTTCTAAATATATATTTTTGAAATTAGTGGATAAAAAGTGAAGGTGAAAGCTATTTTTGATTTGCATTCCTTTACGAGTGATTTTTTTTCCCTCTCTTTTGTTGAATGTAAATTTGTCCAGGAGGTACGTCGAAGGAATAGAGCATTGAAAGATGAGAGAGAGAAAGATTGGAGAGCAATAACACTGTAGTGAACACTAAAGGTCATTTGGGGGAGTTTATTTCCATCTTAGGCGTTTTGGAAAATGAGGCCGATGTTTTTGGTTGGAGCTTTGGGCGGGCGTAACGCGATACACGCGATTCGTATTATATTAAACGTCGGTCGCGGGTTCGACCCTGTAGCCCAGCATTTAGAGTTAAAATTAATGTATCTGCCCTCACCTTCATGCTTGCCCTCATCCTGTGCTCTATGTGTTTTTGATCCTCTCCTCCGCCCTCATCTTGTTGCTTCATCGTGTTTGCCCTCATCGCACGCCACTCTTACGTGTCTGACACGTCTCTTTCAACTGTGTTGTCTTTCTCTTCCTCTTCCCCTCTGAGATCCGTAGTTGCAGTGCTTTGTAAGTCATTTTCGTAGATGCAGTTGCGATCCGTAATAGTGTTGGCTTTGTTCTGGTGATTTTTGATAGAATGGATTTTTTGTGTGTAGCATCATGCTTACTGTGGAAATTTGTGAAGGAATGACTTTTACCTGTGATTTTTTGGCTTTTTCCGTTTTTCTGTGAAAATGTCGAAGGCATGGAAATTTTCTGTGGCATGGTTTCTTCTGTGATTTTTTGTCTTTCTCCTTTTCTCTATGAGAATTTCGAAGGCATGGAAAATTGGTAGGCATGGTGAAGTTTTTTTGTCTAGCTTGAATGTTTAGCTTTGATTGTAGTTGAGAATACTCAATGGAATAACCTGTAATTGTCGAATTATGCTGGATTTTGGGTGCTTTGCTCGTGACTAGGTTGTCTGATTTGTTGGCTGGTCTGTTGGAATTTTTATGCTTTCTTTTGGCTAGTCTGTTGGAATTGGTGTTTTCTTTTGTAATGGTTGTTGGACTCGTGACACTTGAATTCGTGGAAGTTATAGCTCTATCTACTGTAGGGTGTTGGTATTGGTGTGGGTCTCTCTACTATAGTGCGGCTCTCTCTACTGTGGGGTGTTTGTGCTAGTGGTTGAGTACTGGTGATGGTGGTTGGACTTAGGTGTGTGTGTATCTCTTTACTGTTTAGTGTTGATGCTAGTGGTTGGGAGTTGATGATGGTGGTTGGACTTGGGTGTGTGAGTCTCTCTCTATTGTTGAGTGTTGGTGTTGTTGGTTGGTTGTTGGTAATGGTGGTTGGACTTAGGTGTGTGAGACTCTCTCTACTGTTGGGTGTTCATGCTGGTGGTTGGGAATTGGTGATGTTAGTTGGGTGTTGGTGATGCTGGCTGGACTTGAGTGAGTGTGTCTCTCTCTATTGTAGGGTGTTGATTTTTTTAGTGTTGATGATGGTTGTTGGACTTGGGTGTGTGTGTCTCTCTAATGTTTAGTGTTGTTGCTGGTGGTTGAGTGATTTTTCGTGATATGTTGACGTGCCCATTTCCTGAAAAAATAGAGATTGTGGTGTCCACGATGGTGCTCCACAACTACATTCGACGGCACCACTCTAAGTAAGATGCAAACTTTAGTATGACTGATGAAGATTAGATGCAGGTCCCGCCTGAAGAATATGAATTTCACATCGGATAATCTATATCACAAGCAGAGATGGAGTCATAAGAATTTTACACCCAAAACGGCGAAGGTGCAATAAAAATGACTGATTTGAGAGAGCAAATCAGAGATGTTATTGTCGGATGCTCCCTGACCATTTCTTTTTTATTTTTGTAGACTATGTTTGTTTTATGTTACTTGTATTAATGATAATTGTGATTTTATAATATTCACATGGTTAACATTGCTTTCCTCCATGTTTTTTTTAACATTGCTTTCCTCCATGGTTTTTTTTTTTTTTGTGTTTGTGAGATTCATAATGAAAATTTTGACCTTATGACTTATTTTGGATGACTAGTTAGTCGTTGTTGGTTAGTGTTGCATGTGAAATCCTAATGAAAACAACTAAGATCTTCTCTTCTTTTATGTGTATCAGTTTATGATGACCTAGTGGATGACCTTTTTTAGTGATATGCAAATGTGGCATTGGATGTGATTTTACGTGGGTTAAAGACAATCAAGAACTTATTTTTTTACTAGGTCTTCTGTCTTCTTATAGTGACAAACTCGTTGGTTGGTGTAGTTAGTTCTCTGAGACCTCACTCCTGCATTTATTTTTTTTATCTATCAATCCATGCTCGTTTATTCAATACTGTTTTTTTTATTTCTATTTTCTTGTACATTTTTTTTATTTTATTTTCTGACATTTCAAGGAAGATGAGTTCCAGGATTTCAGGGACCTCCCGACGTGTGTTTTGTCACTGTGGACTACAAAATTTCTTATTGATGTCATATCAAGCACACAACTACGGGAGACAATTCTACAGTTGCTTGCGGAGCATCACAGAAATGTGCGTCTTCTTCCAGTGGGCGGACAGTCTGACAGATTCCACCGTCAATAGTGATCGGGGTTGGATGGTATCCCTGAATGATAGTATAGCTTGTGACATACATCTTCTCAATTTTAAAATTAATATTATCATAAATTTAATTATCATTTTAATAATTTTTGTATTAATCTTGATATTCACTGTTAAGTGAGGGCTGTTTCGTCTTTTTTCTTACTATCATGCATGAGTTTTCTGTTTCTCTAGTATCAAATATATTGCCAAGAGAGTTCTGCTACAAATAACATTAGTTAATAGAGACAGATGATTATTTTTTCACAAACAACTACAAATCAAATGTTTTCAAACTATTGCCACAATGACCGACCAACTTATTTGGATAAGCTGTTGATGAGTAGATTATTCAATAAATTGCAACTGCCCCAACCTGACCCTAAATTTGTGTTAGTTGATATACTATCACAATACCTGGGAGTAAGTTGTATCGTATGAACATCGAACTCCTGAATAAGCCTTCACAGCCACAGGAAATTAATAGGAGTTGCAGCCGACAATATCATTAGCTAACAATCCACATGTTGAAATTGATCATCATTTTATAAGAGCCCACGTTCATCCAAAATAAATTCAAGTTGATTATATCAACACACAAGATCAAGTAATGAATAAACTCACCAAATCATTGTTAAGGACTGAATTCACTCAGCTTAGAACCAAACTAATAGTATGTCCTAGACCTACTATAGATTAATAGCAGTAACACAATAATTGACGAAGATGACTCGAACACTCAAGAAAACAACATCAATTACATAGGTACATAAGGTGTAACTAATATGCACTCTCTTCTTGAGATATTGATATATATATATATATATATATA